GGGTGGAATGGGGGGGGGGGTGGGCCGGCTGGCCCCCTTGAATCCGCCACTGTGTACTTTCGCAGATGGAGGATCTATACCACCTCAGCCCCACCATTGTTGGGGTGAGGCAGGACAATTTGTGATTATGGCACCTCTGGATGGCCAAAAATTGCACTCTCAGACTTATAATTTAATATAATTTTTTAATCTCCATTAAAAAAAAAAAATAGCAATTTAGCCCCACCCCCGCCTTGAATGCCCCACAGATTTCCGAAAAAAGGCGAAGTCGAGATTGCTTGTACGACCCAGGGAGGGTCTTGCACAAATGGAATGTCCACCCACCTAAAGCCCCACCAGTTAGGGCTGGGGGAAAATTAGATTATGGCACCTCTAGATGGCCGGAAATTGCACTCTCAGATTAAAAGTTAAATATAATTTTGTCTGTCTTCTCCATTTTTTAAAAATAATTTTGAAAAAATTAGGAAGTTGGGGCCCCGTGCTGAATGGGTTCCCCATTGAATCCGCCACTGTTCAATATAACACTTGAGATAGCCTATCATTTTGTTTCACAAATGACTAATTCTGAATGTCAAGCGAAGATTTTTTTATTGGAAAGATATTTTTTTTTAATTTAATACTATACAGTTTTTACAACCTATAACACATTGACTACAGTGTACTGTAAATTCTGTAGTTAATCTTCAGACAACTTTATTTTTTAAAATGGCCAAATTAAGTATCTTTTTTGTTTTCGTTAAATTAGATGGAGTTTAAATATTACGCTAGTTTGAAGGTTTACTGTAAGCAAATCAACTACACTTACATTACATTTTCCTGGTCAGCATAAGAGAGTGCCTACCTCCCCCAATATGCCTAAATACAAAGTTCACGAAGGCGGGCGATTCCATTCTTTTTCCTTCATGCTCGAGGGTGGGTTTCAAGGAACAACATTGGTTGCTCAATTCAAAAGGGGAACTTGTAATGATCGTTAGAACTTAGAACATCAAAAAAAAATCCATATTTTAAAGTAATAATAATGCAGTAATAATTTAATTTACAAGGTCCAAATAAACTACCGGTAGGTCTCTGAGCACCAAATAATAATAATAATAATAATAATAATAATAATAATAATAATAATAATAAATATAATAATAATAATAAATATAATAATAATAATATTGACACTGCTGCTGGGAACAGTCACAAAAGTAAGGGGCCAATGGCCCTCCCCTCCCCCACCCCCGGTTCCACCACCGTTTAGAAAACGCGTAGTTGTATTAACGTAGAAATGTTACATTAATGAATTATTATTCAAACATAATTAGTTTACCTACCGGTGAATCAAATCTGATGGTCCATAATTCATCCGTTCCCTCATACAGAGAATTAGCAGATGGTGTTGAACTGTTTGATAATACTTCAGGTGACGGCGGTTGAAAGTCAAAACTTTTCGCTGAATAATAAAATATTAAACGTTTCCTAGATTTATTATTGTTTTCATTTTAGTTTTAACAAGCAAATTTTAAAATATAACTGAAAAAAACTTACAAGTCACAATCAGGCGTCCAGACTTTTGATCGCTTTGTACTCTATATAAAAATGAAAAGCAATAAAATGAAAAATCTTATTTTATGGAAGATTACAGATTTTATATAATTTGATTTAGAATAATCAGGTGAATGATATCCTATTTTTGAAATTATGAATCTTGTGCGCGTTCGTTACGCAGACGCTCTCAACCAATAGGATTAGGACAATTCTAGACAATTTCTGTGCAATACTATCATTTGTATTCGTATAAAAAATAATATCGAATGGTCCAGATTGGAAGAAGATATTGAACGTCGGAGAGAATTAAGAAATATAATGCATAATGGCTGTGCAATTTAGCCAGCAGTACTATACATTGAAAGATTAGAAGCCTACTACTAGGAAAGCGTACTAAATTGTTGTTAACCGATAACGACGGAGGGAAATGCGTATGCTGTCATCAGCCTACAATTACTTTCTTACCGGAGTCTTTACAAATATAACAATTTATCAAGACAAAAATTATACTGCTCAATTTCCCATATATTACATTCAAGTCATACTATCTTAGTATGTATTGTACGGCATTATGGTAGGACTACAATGTATATATATATATATATATATATATATATATATATATATATATATATAT